TTTTTTTTTTTTTTTTTTTTCGTTTCAATTTATGGGTCGGCAGTTTCTCAGATTCACATGCATATGTGGAAAGTAGTACAGACATCCTTAAGTATGCATACGATTTATGTTGGATTATTAAATTTCAATAGGCGATTTGATTTTACTTTCCCCGACGACAGAAATCAATCAATCAAACAAAATTCAATCAAACAAAAATAGAAAGAACTACGTAATTTAATTTTATTACGATTCCCAGTATGAGTCCAATGGTACCACGATGATAACGATAAGAATTAATTTCTTATACTCCCTGTTCTTCATATGTACTTAACTTCTAGCTAATTTTTATTCCATTTCGTCCAGTAAATTTTGTTCCGTGCAAATACTTCGTCCAGCTTCTCATTGAACAAATGAATAAATCAAATTCACTGTGGCTGTTTGACGGAATTACCGTGAGATTAATCATGCACAATTGATGGCTCATCGATGAGGCTCCGAAGGGAAGTTCCAGGCCATTAGCCAACTTCATCTGTAACGAAGTCTCACTTACTGTAACAAAGTTTCAGTAATTTCCCTCCAAAGTTGGCACTTTATCTCTCTGATAATTCGGAGCACGCTGAGAGAAATGACAGTAAGCGCTTAACTTGCGAATTTCTTGGAAAAATTACGTTAGAAGCGATTGCAAGAAGCACGTGTAAAGAAAGTGAACGGATCTCGCGAAGAAAACCGATGAATCGTTTCGTTTTTATCCGAGGAGAAAGTTGTGAAATAGACGAGATTAGTTGCTCGTGTCTTCGAGTAGTACAATACATATTATATTACTATATTTCTTTATTGTATATTATATTACCATTCTATAATGTTTGTCATAAAATTATGTTACACTTGTTGTCGTAGTGCAATGTAATAATTCGAATAGCATATTTTTAAAAAAATGATGAATATATGATCTTATTAGTTAGATGTCGTTCAAAATATAATCACACTTTAGTTCACGAGAATGACTTTTCTCCGGATTATCTTGAACGAAATAATCATTCATTTCAATTTTCATCTTATATATATAATTTCTCAATCTCGTCACAAATATAGATTTCAGATTATTCATTGAAATATATAATTTGCTCGAAACAATTCGTTATTTGTTGTTCTCTATTTCGTTCCAAATAAAGCCTGTCTCTCTCTCTCTCTCTCTTTCATTTTTATTGATTCCGAGCGAGATTCCAATCGCTTTTATATGCATTCCTTGCACGCTCGCTGTACGATTTGCCAAGTCGACGTCTGCCCGACTTTCCTTTCTCCCGTGTGTGTTCGTTTCCTTTTCGTTCGTGATTGTTTTCCTTTCCTCAGGAATTCTATTTGCCGGTAATTCTTCGAATAGTGGGAGACCGACGTTGGGAAAATAATCGGGGATACGCCGGGGGAATGTCTTACGGATTTCGTTTATTTTCTGCGAGACAATGGATACAATGTATACGTACTTCTGAAGCAGTCAACAAGATAGAACAACGCCTTTAGACGTTTATTTTATAGTGGTTGCTAACTATCAGCTAGAAAAATTCTGAACGAACGTACACTTCCGCTCGAAAGTCCTACGACATTTTTTCCCCCCAATGTCTTATTATAATGTATGCAACATATTGTAATATTATACACAGTGGCTCACGAAAATATTCGAACGTCCATCGTAGCAAAAATTTTCATGTTATACTACGCGTGTTATGTGAAACATTTTGAAATTTTATTTTAACACTACAGCGAGATATTTATATTGCAAATGTAACATGTATCTTGTAATATCACTACAGTCATCTGAAGCATATAATAAGTCATCAATCATGACTATTAAATGTAACTTGATCCAAGATGATTATTGACGAATATTGATATAATGGATTGTGACCGTTTAAATGCTTATGTGACTATTAAGATGTGTTAAATGTCTATATATTAAACGTGTTTCAATCTTGACGTCAATAAAATTTCAAAATTACACGACACACATACTATATGCATAAAATATTTTTCTAAGTATTTGAATACTTTCATGAACTATATGTTATATTGTATACATACGTTAACATATATAAATAATATTATAATATGATACCAAAAGATTATATCTTTTTAAACATCATGTATGATATTTAATATCTTTTATTATTCAGTGTTTATCGCAGACGATAAAATTTTTAAATTGCACGTGAACCATATAATACAATTAACAATTTACAGTCGTTTTTGTTGTTCAACTTTTATAAAATATCGTTCAATTTTTTCCAGTTTTTTAATAAATGCAGTCCCAAGACTTTTGTGCATATTCCTCGAGTATATTTCTTCGTTAGACGCGCGAGTATATTAAATAGTTAATTAATATAATAATAATTAAATATATATTAGAATTTCTCTCTCTTCTTTTTCGTCCTTTCCGTATCGTCGACTCAACAACATTCCCTAAATATGATTTCTCGGTTTCTCACATCGAATCCAAGTTTTCTTGCTTCTCAAGGCTAATACTTCAAGAAATATCCATATTTTGCTTATTAAAAGGTATACATAGAAGTAAAGGCGAGAAATTTTTCCTATTTACAAATACAAAAAAGCATTTGCACACACCTTCATTTTCCAATAAGGCATTTTCTTTTTAATCAGACGTTTTACGTTTCACAATATTTCATAATATTAAATTTACATAAAGATGATTCGAAGAATCGCCATGCTTTTGGCCTCCTGACTTGGAAACTGAATAATTCATCACAGTTAGTTTCTGAATTTTTAATTTTGTTAGCGAAATCTCTGCAAACAATCTGACTATGTTTCTATGTCTTTTAAATGACACAAAGAGATAAAAAATTAAAAAAAAAAAAAAGCAGTATTATAAAAGTAGAGGCTTCATGTTTTGAAATTAGCTCAAGTAGATTCTTACACGATTTTTTTCTCATAAAACTTTAATCTATTCCTTATGTTACAAATATATAAATATACAGATCCCTTAAAATTTATCGTACAATTCTTTTCACAAAATTATAAGAAAGTTACTTTTTGTACACTTGATCCTTTGTATTTTATATTTAAAGTTGAGAAACCAAGAACAGGCGAAAAAAAACTTCATTTTTCAATCATTCTTTAATATACTTGAACCTTTTGAAAACATTTTGAGACACAATATTTTAAGAGAAAAAATGATTTTGATCTGCCACAGAATTTTTCCTTTTTATTCTATCTGAAGTACAGAATTTCACAATTTAACGATAGTGCGAACGACGTTTCGTCATACACGTTCAAGTACTAAAAAAAGGGACATTTTTCATACCAGCATGTCCCAAAGAATTAAATACCATATAAACGCCACAATAAAGTACCATGGTGTGCAAATACTTTCCGTGTCCACTATATATTCGCATTGCTAGACATTCTGGATCTCATTTTCTATAATAACAAATCGAATCGAACGAATATTAGTACGGGACTAGGTCACGAACGAATCTTAACAAACATGGGAAAAAAGAATCATCTTGTCCGTCGAATGCCAACTTTACTCGAAATTCTATCAGCCACGCGTTTTTTTTTTTTTTCTTTCTTTTCTTTTCATCGCCGTCGTTCAGAAATCCTTCTTCTTATCTTTATCCCCCAACACGTTGTCGTGGTAGCTGATCTCCTGTCCAGGAACAGCTGGATGAAGATAAGGCGGCTCGACAACGATCTTCTCCTTCACGTCAGGATCTAAAACCATCGAGTGATGCGGCCCTCGATGAAGCACAGTCTGATGCTGTTGCTGTTGTTGCTGCTGTTGTTTCCCACTCGATTGATGCTGATGTTGATGCACGTGCCGATGGGTGTGCTGCTTCTCCTCTTCTTGCCCGTACTTGTCCAACAACTCTCGCAGTTTGTCGAAATCGATGTCCTCGTCGAACTTGGAGAACAGCTCCTTAGTACCAGACTGCTCCAACTTCTCGGAGTCCTTCAGTTGTTTGAAGAGTTGCATGAATCTCTCGTTAGCCTGGACACCGTCCTTGGTGGTGTTCTTGGAGGAGTTCAAGTTGGGATTCTCCAGGAGATCCGGCGTCTCGTGAGGGACGTTGACGTTCTTGTCTAAATTCTCTTGGGTTAATGACTGAAGCAAAGTGTTGTAGTCCGGCTTGATCCTGGATGTCTCCATGCAGGAGCTGCAGGAACAGTTGGTGATGATTTGGACTTTCTTCTGCATCGTGATTGCGTTGTTCGTTTCATCTTTGCAATCCAGCGTGACCTGGAAGGTTATACGGATTCGTTAATATATGGTTTCCAGTGTTCCGTGTACTCTATATGCATGCTGCTTGCTCATAAGTATTATTTAGACAGTTGGAATATTCCTAAATATAAAAAAATTAATATTATATCTACTTTGGTGATGTGGGACTCTTCAACACTTTTTTGTAAATTTTTTTAATTTCTTTAACGCAAGTAAACAGTTCGAAAACCAATCAATCATAATTATGTTATTCTCAAGGTTTCGAACAATAATGATTGTATCATCGATTGAAGTCAGGAGATTTCATTTAACGTTCACTCCTAAGTCCTCAAACTAACAGCAAGTTCCAAGATAAATGCAAAGAACCTTGATCCCAAGTTTCTCAACGATTTACGTAATTTATTCACCTACCGTGTGCCAGATGCTGTCCAAAGGTTGACAAGAGTCGCAATAAGGTCTGATCAGGTCACCGGGAGCAGAAGGTTCACTGTGCGGCACCATGTACGAGAAACAGGCTCCCACGCAGACGTTGTTGTCGAGTTCTTGCGAGGAACACTGCGGCCACGTGACCACTTGCTTTATCGGGGTCGTTTTGCACCAGCTGTGCTTGTCGGGATACAGCACGATGTTGTGCACCTTAAATAATTAATAATCGATGGTTACTCGACGAACGAAGCGAGAAGGGAATGGGTAGATCGCGGGAAGATCGAGAAACCTTGTGCTCGCGATGAGCGTGTAGCATGGTCGTCTGAAGGAACAGCGCGATCACCACTGTCAGATGACACGTTGGTCCCATGATCCCTGAAACAACAGAGGGAGAGAGAGGGTATCCGAATCTTTCCGACGAAATGGCCATTGCCAATATTCTATGTGACGAATAAACGTACGATCACACGTACATAATTGCAGATATATTAACATAAATGCATAATACATATAACACTGGATCACTGGTTTATGAGATCGTCACGGTGCAAATTATTTATTAAAAAAAAAAAAAAAGAAGAAAACAGTTTGACACACTTTTTTTTAGATTAATCTCATATTGTACAGGCATCTTTTTAATGTATAACGTATGTTTTCGATGCCACCAGAGTTGCGAATAATGCAGGCAACACATTGCATCCTTCTAATTATTTCATTATTTTGTCGAAGACGCGTAGTTTTAAAGCATGATTCTAACGAGTCCGAAATAAATAATCATAACGTTAGAAAAAACTAGGGAGAATAAGATCACGATACGAAATTGATTCATTGACAATTGATGAACTTGATTATTAAAAACTTGATTATTATAAAGACTTTGCAAATTTAGCTATCTGCTCTTTTGTTGTATCAATTTGACACCAAATTGGACAAATTAAGTGACGAATAAGGATTAAGAAACCCTTGTTCTTAGTTAAAGAGATCGCTGCAATAAAGAGACAGCACCACTTTCAGCTAATTTCAAATAAATCAATAGAAGAGCTGTAGCGACTTACTCGAGCGTGGCCTTTGGTTATTAAAATGTGTTTAATTTCACAGCACTGGACTGTGAACTTGTCTTGTTTAACCAAGTGATGAACCATAAATGAGACTACTTTACTCCGCGATCGATGAAATGTAGGAATGCTTTACCTGGTGAAAAACTCTGTACGATGTTGATTGTTCGGTGAAAATTACTAGAGATTCTTCTTCAGTTGAAGATTATAGAAATTCTGATTCATGGCCCGCGAGTTTTGTTAGTTCGATCTAGCCAGTCATATTCAAAGTTTGATTGCCCTGCCGTAGGTCGTTTGAAAATCGATAAATAACGATTGATGCCAAGAGGACATTAAATATATGGGTCAGCGACCGTCTTGACCTACGTTCTTGAGTGCTGATTTAGTAAGCATTAAAAGAGTATCCAACGGAAATACAGACTAGATTCACTCATGATTCAGATCGCACGAATATTTAGTATTCGCAATTAAAAATCCGGTACTCCGTCAAACATGGCTGATCGACAAAATTATCATCAACTTGTTTTTTCCACGCTAGATCATTTAAGAAGATCATATCTGAAATGGGATATACGTAGTGAAAAGTGGAGCTGCGTGAACCTCGTCGATATCTGATTGCCAACAGCTGATCGATACAAGTGAAGCTTCTAACACACATGTACTTACATACACAGACCCGTTCTGGTCTCGTCGCGTCGATAAACTACGGATAACCCTACGGAGACGAGGGAATTTCGCGATTACGATTTTCACGAGGTGCAGCGTGCAAACGTGCGCACGTGTCCCCACCCTGAATGAATGAAAGTCTACGAGTCTCTCCCTCTTTCTTTCACTCGTGGTGCGGCTCTCCCGAGGTCTCAGGTTCGACGACCGTCTGAAATTACGTCACCGGGATTTGTCGTGGTGCCGCTGGCCTTCCCCTGCTTCTTCCTTTTTCTCCCCGGGTTCGCGCGTCGCGTGAATTTTGTTTAAAACAAGCTACACGCGGGGCGCCTTACACACATGTGTATATACACGTACGAGGAGGATCGTAAACTCGGGGAGAGCCAGCGCGAGCGGATTTCTTTCTTTTTCGAGGTACACCGAGGGGCTGTTCGTTCGAGTTCATTCACGAATCGTTAACGCAATTGGTGATTGGTGGACTTTGCAAAGAGTCCTTTCTCACTTGCTGGAAGATTAATTGATGATCGATCCTTTGACGCTCCGTAATTTTTGTAATTAACTATCGTAGACTCCGTCTAATCGTAACTTTACAGTCTTGCACGTTGTACGAAACGAATTTACCTAAAAAAAAAAAAAAAAAAAAAAAAAACATAAAAATTGCTGGAACACAGTCTTCTCAAATGGGAGACGTCGTCTTAAGATCGATTCCTTGATTACCAGACGAGATCAAGGTGCTCGAGTTTTAAGTCGCTTAGATCTTGAAGATAACGAAATTCCTCTGACAGAATCCAGGGAAGAACGACTTTTTCATGGATGTCCCGACCATAAATAGTGGTGGATTTAGGCTACAGGACTTGAATACGAGAGATACACTTCTTCCCCCGTCCCCCCATCTCGGTCGAAGTAAAACATTTTTCTAAAGATTAGGTCGAAAAGAGCGATGTAAAATTTTCTATCGTGAGAAGAAGAAAGGAAAAAGAATTAATTTGGTGTGGGGGTCACTTAAAGAAACGTAACCTGTAGCTATCTGATAAAAAAATATCGTATATCAATAGACAGACATATGTCAGAGAAATGATCTTTTGATAGAAAAATTAAAACCAGTAATTTAAATTAGCTATATGTAGGTGTCTTGTCATTGGGGCTATTTTGTAAATTTTATGGATATAAAACAATGTATTTTTAAAGATTTTAAATGAACTCATATAAGCAGTAGATGATAATTAGATAAATATATAAGTAGAAACTTGTGCAATTTATTATATCGTAAAGCTCTATTATTTTACTTTAACATCCCTGACGAAAAATTTCTGGCATTGAAATTAATCAAATTTATTATTACATGCATCATAATACCAAACGCACGTAAGTAGTGGTATCCATACTAACTAACAACATAATTATACGATACAAATACGTAAGGTGTTGAAAATGGTCCTTGTTTAATGACCATATACATATGTACAGTGATCGACAATCCTAACGAACAGTTGAAACTTCAATCTTTTAAGGCAAACACGCTAGAGATAAAGTCACAAGAGAAAGAAATAAAGGAGCCGAGATACACGTACCATTTTTACCAGGAAGCAATCAACCGAGCAAAGGAAATCTCAATTACGGTAATCGTTATCGAGCTCACGCGCGCGATTTCGTCTTGCTTCTCGCGAAGCAATCGGTAATGAAGCAATAATTCGGCAGCCACGCTGGCGAAAGAGACGAAGGAAGACCATTACCCTGTATATAGGCATATATAGACCGGTTGAATCGATGGCGGCCGATGGGGTAGGGGGAAAAAAGCGTCAATCTCATCGTACGATCTTTCTTGATCTTTGGGAGATGAACCAGCGAGGGACAAGTGGCACGAACGACAAGGTAAAGGGATGTGCAGGCCCAATTACGAGCGATCGGCCCCTTTTTTTTTGGCCTCTCGAGAAATCCCCGGATCCGTTTCACCGCACCCGTGCATCCTTTGTCGTTCAGGAATTTACTTTGTCGTTCGGACTCGCGAGTTGAATTCCTGACAACAGAAAGAATCTCGTCCCTCTACGAACAATTGGTCGCCCGGCATTTCCAGGAGAGGATCAACTTTTCGTTCCCCTTCGCTCCGATGCGTTTCAATCTCCCGATCTCCCGATCTCCCGATCTTTTCTTACTATTCCCTCCTTATCCGCCAAGTTCCGTCCCACCGACCTCTCCTCCGCGTCAAGTCGTTTCTTTCTGTTCGCGTATAGTTGCTCACGAAAAACGTTTCCTTGGGCAAGTTTCCATCCAGGTGTGAATTGCAGTGAAGTGAGAGCAATTTGTCCGAAACAAATCTAAAAATATTGTATCTATATTAATTAAATCAATGTGTACGGATGTTTCTAGATTTGTTTCAACACTTGATTAATATTATCACAACACTCGTGTCATCAGTCAGTATACTGTTCATAAAATATCAAAACGTTTGTCACATGCTTCATCATATTGTGCGAATATACACGTCTATTATATATCTAATGTATGTTATAAATATATACAAATATATTACATTTATTATATGTATAGTATTTATACAATGTGTGTTGCATGTATACAATATATTTGTTACTTGTATGTAGAAATGTAGAAATTTTTCTATAATAACTATCTTTGGTAAGCTACTATTTCTTACTATATATATATGTGTGTGTGTGTGTGTGTGTGTATGTGTACACTTGGAAGATCCACGCGTAACGGTGTTTCGATATTTAATTTATCAAACCGGATCGAAACAGGGGAGTGAAATTTGAAAGGTTATCGGCGGTCCTGTTGCAAGCGGTGACGGCTGGCCGCAAATTAGCTTAAAGATATGATAGTCGAGAAATTAGAACTCTCAGCTGATTCTTGTTGAATCACCCTGTAACGTGGCCACGAGGGGGAGGCGAGGTGTGCGACTACAAGGTTCGGCCGCCCATCTCATTTCCACGAGCGGTGATTTGAATGACCGAGTAGGATACAAACAGGGACGTACTTAATCCGGATGAGTCTGACGACTTACAACGAGCACCACTTCATTCTTACTTCTTCCCTATACAAACGATCGTTGACTTAGACATCGCGTTTGTGTATCTTGACACTTACGTCAGTGTGAATACATTCACCATCTAATTGGCAAATAATCGGTATTTATTTACTTTCTGATTTGTCACCTAAAATGAAACATTTCCGATGAAATTATTCCAAACTGATTATTTCGTATTCTTTACGATAATTTCCTCGAGTAATAAAATCCAAATCTTGAAACGGTGTTTTGGAATAATTCAGACTGTGCAGGGTAATTATGAACGAATATTAATAGGATAATGTTGTCAATTAATTAGAATACAAGTTTAGGACAATTTTCTTTAAATTATTTGAATTGTAAGTGATTTGTAATTGGTATTTAGGTGGAGCTTTAAGATACATCAAGTATGAAGTATAAACTATTTTGTCGACAATTGAGATTCTGATGTAATTTAGGATTTTAAATTATTTACCTTTGGAATTTATAATTTATCACGCATAAACGATACTATTTTGGAGTTAGTTTTAGTTTCATTGCTAATCTTCGTCATGGAGAATTTAAAATGCAGAATGAAATTAAATATTCAAAACTTTATTAATTGTAAATTACTGCTATTAATTTGTAGCTCAAATCGATAGAACTCAAGACAAAACAAATTAATCCTCTAACAATCAGAATTTCTTTACT